CCACAGATTGGCGAGAATGGTTGTGTCAGAGCCGCGCCTTTGCTGGAGGAGGTGTCTAACCTTATCGCCAAATCAGCACTAACGGAGAAATCACCTGCGCCCTGCACAACTGAGCCGACCGAACGGACCGAGCCAGCCGAACCCCCACGAAAAAGGATGCGCATGTTGTGATATCGCACCTCTGTCCACCACTTGCCCTCTTTACTCACGCTCCCGGTTCGCGCTCTGCCGGTGATTCGTGATTCCCCAATCATGATTTTCCGGACCTCTGCCCCTCTTCCATCCCTTGCCCCCCACCCTTAGCGTGGTTCACCCGCTCGTGAATTTGTTAGCCGCCGAATGGGCTGGCAGGTTGATCCTGGCGCAGTGGCCTGTAAAGCAAATGTGTGAGAGTAGGCTAAATTTCATTTTCTCCCTATTCCCTGAGCATGGTCTGTGATGTTTTATTTTCTTCTCTCCTACACCTTGCTTTCTCTTTCGTTCTTACTTTCTCTCCAAGATGTCTATCACTTCTGCAGATTTATGAAAGTGGTTGTCTTCCTCCCTTTTTTTCCCTTCTGACAGAATTAACTGTTGATATTAACCTGGGAATACTACTACATTCTGATTATTTCTTTATCCGCTTTACGGAGGAAAGGTGGAGGGGGGAAGGTGGAGAATTGTTGAATTTCGAAGAAGGTACTTGCATGTTGATTGTGATGGTGGAATCTGCCTTTCTTTTTTTTTTTCGGGAGTGCGGTGGATTGCTTCGTTCGTGCTAGGGTCCCCTCGGTTTCCGGAGAAGATTTTCTCGTAATTCCAAAAGCTCCAAAATGAAAACCAGAATCCCCCTCGGTGTCTTATGTTCCCGTCTTTATTACCGGACGTCACTAAATCATGCGGTGAAAAAGTATCTTCTCCACTATCCGACCCCTACCCGATACAAGATGTGTGGAAACATGTATACATAGACTAGCGCCCAGCAGCCGAGAGCTTTGAGATGGGGTACCGGTATCAGACTATGTAACGGGGGATCACTTCTCACTGCAGCTTTTGGTCAGCTGCCTCCTCGGAAGAATACCGGTGCAGCTGTGGCTTCTGGGTTGTTTCGTAATCTGGGCGCACGGGTCTCTAGCGAGCTCATCTAGCATGCTGAAATAATGAAAATATCTGGATATTGGAGGGGGCGGGCACAATTAGACTACAAGAGTAGTGTTCCTCCCAACAGCACCCATTCCTGACTTTGGGCGGACCCATATCCCCCTTCCCCGCGCCAGTCAGACCACATCTTTAACCAGGGACATCAGGATTCAAAACAAATCCTGTAGCGTGGCACGGTTCGACTTCTTGCACCAACCATGATTCTATTGCTTCGCGCCTTTTGATATCATACTTGTGAGCGGCTGAGCGAATAGCGCACCAGCGTAATCGGGGAAGTTATGGGGGCGGAAGAGCAGGTGGAATTAAATATGATGAGATAGGAAAAGAAAATTGGGAAAGTAGGGAAGAAGGAGACTAGGATGGAGATGCAGAAATGAGATGAGCCTCGCGGGGTCATTATTAGACGAAAGAAAGGCTTCACAATTGTTTACCCACTGGCTTATTATAGCGGTACAGCAGTATCGGCCAATTCCCTGAATAAAATAAAAAAGCTTGTTAACTGGGTATCGAAAGGAGAAGTTTGAATTGTCTCAAGCGTGGGTAGAAGACAAGTGCGAGCAAAACGAAATGATCCGTTCTAATAAGAGAATTGGAACAACTGCCATTGCTTGTACATCTAGTATAGCTTGCCTCCTTCATCGCCATCGACACATAAACCACCTGGAGACAAGTAACTTGGATGCAAATATACTGGGTCCTAAATCACCTCGCTTATGCCACAGAAGACCCCCCTTTCCCGTAACATGCTGCCACAGAAGAAGTGGAATTAATATATCGAATATCCTCTGCGCAGTAGTTCGATTCTGCTCTCGTGCAGGAATAGGCTGCGTGATTCTCGCCCGCCAGACGTGGCTAAGGGGGGGCGGATTCAGTGAAGCGCTATAATGTACCTGCAGGTGCGGTGCAGTTTGCGCCGGGGTCCCTATAGTGGTTATGGAACCCCGGATGAGTTACGTGTAATGGTAATGTACGACGCCCCCCCCCCGGTTCGGCGTCGGGGTTCTCTCTTCGTTGAAATTCGAATCACCATCGAGTATCCCGGAAAGCTCTGACTATAATACGCCTAGAAAATTATTGGCATCCCGAAAAAATATCTTAAATACCCATGCAGAAAGTCTGCCGGGGCAGAATAGCAACAAAAACAAAAGGCCCAGGAACGGGCGGGAGTTGCCTCAGTGAGGCTTTTCCTGGATAGCCCAGTGGAATCTAAATAAGTGTTGAAAACATTTGAAGGGGTTGGGGAGTGGCAAGACAGGCTCGAGATTGAAAATCTTGGATTGGATCGCATCAAAGCTGGAGCCGTATACGGTCTGGTATGAGAGATGATGATGCGAGATTATGGGTTGTCATAGAGGTTGCTCTATGTTTTGGAGGTGTTGTGGGTACCGTAAAAACTCAAATAATAGAACTGTGTGCTATGTAGTCGAGAATTACCCACTTGAGAAAGGGGGCGAAAAACACAGCAAAAACGGAGCTGCTCAGCCCCCCTCAGAGGCGTAAGGAAACAGAAAAACAACAGACTTTACCGGAGGAGGCAACTCCAACGACATAGCACCCAGTTAGATTATTTGAGTCCCTACGGTAGTTTAATTTGCTTAGGGCTTACAATGATTGGAGGAGATGGTTCTCCGGGGATCTGCTTCCTTTACCACCACCAGAGTGCCCTTAGGAATAGAGATAGTATGCTAAGTGACTCAAGAATCAAGAGTACTTCCACTACCTGTACATCAAACTTTAAGTTCATCCTTGCTATAGGCGAAGTTCTAGAGCTAGTGTCAATAAGGGTGCGTACATAAATCGGGAGGTGTGATACTAAATCCCTTTTCAATCCGGACTCAGCAGAAGACCATTCCAAGGGTGCAGTTCACCATTGTGGCCCCCTTTTCAGTTTCGCATTCCTTGCAGGCAGGCAGGTTACATGCAGATGACGTGAAGAGCAGAATCACTGAAAGATTCGGGTGTCGGGGGCAGTCAAGTGTACATTGAACAAATGATGGTGAATGAAAACACGGCGGCGGCCCGACGGGCGCTTCTTTTTACGAAAAAAAAAAAAACACAAATTGGTTGGTTCAGTAAAGTGCGAAAAGATAAATAAAGGGCACTACCGAGAGCTATCGATCCAGTGCATACGGGTTACAACACCTAAGTTTTGTATATTCCACTAGCAAGGGGTGCTCGCTAGTACGAGTATAATAAGGGCTACAAATTGGGAATCTTTCATGAGAGAGATTTGGTAACTTTCACTAGAAATTACCCAATATAGGGCCCTTACCCCTGCGATCTAAGCACCCCTTGCTAGTAGAATATACAAAACTTAGGTGCTGTACCTCTGTACATGGGTACCGGCATTTGGGACAGTCCCTGGGTTGCCTTCCCATAGTTGTTCTAACCGTATGGCTATTCGCCTCTCCACATACTGAATTCTAGCGAGGAAGCAGTTAAAATCCAACAGGTGAGAATTATCAACCGCTAGAACATCTGGAAAGAATGGGGGCAGGGAAAGAGATCTTTCGCTACCGGTTGGTCGGCGGGGGCCGGTCCCCTTGGTCTAGATTTCATCAGTTCACTGGCAATTGGATACGTGTTCCTAGCCTAGCGAGAAGGCCGCAGCGACCTCCCATCTGAGCATTAACAAACTAGTCCAGTACTCGTGGGTCTCATCCAAGATTTTCCTTCCCCATCCGTCGTTGGGAGGCAGGTCTTTCTCCCCGAGTAAGTATAGTTTACAAGAGGTGTGACTGGTGCAGAGTCTAACTGTTAAAGGAATCTAAAGCAGATATACGGTAGCTAGAGATTCACAAAATGAACTTTAAACTCGATGGGATAGGAAATTTGCATACTCGCAATGTCAAAGCTCTTTTTTAAAAAGGACTGCTATTGCACAGTGCTGTATATCCCGGCAAAAGGGCCAAATTTTGGTGGTATGCAGGAGGAGTCTTTCTTAAAAACGCTTCGACGTTGCGAGTATATTCAAGTAGGGCGATAATCCTAAAGCTTCTTTGCGCTAATGGCCGAGTGGTCTAGTCCATCCGTCCCGTCTTGCAGCCAGGACTAGACAGGATGCCAACCATAGTCAGGATCTTGAATTATACTGGGACGCCCTAAGGCAAAGAGTGGGAAAGACTGAATGCCCTATAATCTAAGATCTGTTTTAAAAATGCCACCTCTTGGGGCTAGCGAAGAGACAGTGGTCATCCGGGTTGAATGAACGGCAATCGTTAAGGTGACCCGGCAACAGACTTTGAAATCAGGCCACCTTTTCTCTAGATCTATTGGTACTGTAGGGAGGGTGACCTCGCCACCCAACGATATACGTTCTAGTAGCCGTCGGCTAGGTGGTGAGGGGCAGCTATGGTAGGTGGGCTTTTTTTTTCTGCGGGGAAGCGATATTTCAATTAGTGGATGGGGAAGGCATCCCGCGAAGATGTATCTTAGCTATACACCATTTCCACGCCTCTAGGGCAAATTATCACGCTGATATCCTACTAACAAATAATCTGTCCTTCCTTACCCCCGAGTAGCAGAGTTCTTGCAGATTCTAAACCTGGGAAACCCTCTACTGCAACAGAACCCGCCACAACACAGCCATTCGCAAACAAGGGAAGCCACCGTCGGAATATGTCTATAAAAAAAGAAGGGTTTATATGAATTACCCCATCCAATCCTGAACTTCAGTTCAGAGTTGCATCATCGTGGTTCACAATTGTAATAGAGGTTTATGGGATTCTAGGTAGGTGAGGGCATTGCGGCCCGGGGGGCACAAAGATAGGCAAACGCCTTATGACATACTTCCCGCTGGGCTCGACTCAGACCATAGTATGAGTAGAAAAATTACCAGTTAACTCAGTCTAACAGGAGGGCTGGAGATCCGAAGCAGTGTACTGTCAATATGGCTCAACTTTCTTAAAACCAGGTCCGTCCAACCACATGCCAACCGGCAATGAAATAAATCCTTCAAAAGAACAAATATCAAAGTAAAAAAAACGTGACAGTATCTGAAATAAGGATATCAGTTCTCTCTCGGGGGGGGTTTTTTTGAAATAATAGATATAAAGAAAGAGGAATTGAAAAAAGAGTTGATGGAACATGTAATGTACTGAAAAGTTCTCTGTAGCAGACTGAGATAAACGCTAAGAAGGTAAGGCTCTGTCAGCAATGATTGCCTTCAGAAATAGTGTGAACAGTGCTTCTGTCAACAGAACAATAATAAATGAATCCCTGCACAATTTTCTAATGGGACACCAGTCGAATAAAAGTCTACTGGACTACAGGATTGAACTGGTATACACAATGGCTGATAACATACACTCTGGTAGTCAGGTCTCAGCATCGGCATGTGTTTCATCACCGGCCCATATTTTAGGTCGGTTGCGCAGTAAAAGAATTAAATACCCCAGCAACCTCACCCCCTATTTCTTGAAAGCCAGGTAGGAAAGGAAGTTGGGTGAACTAACATGTGCGGTATAAGGGAAAAAATAACCAAGCGAGAAGGCCTTTCGGCACACCCTAGGAGATCGTGACAGGGTAGCAGAACGCCGAGGAGGAACAGTCCTGGGGAAAATTTGCTTGATAATTCCATAACGATTATGCGAGCCACATCCATAAGACCTTTCCATAGAACCTTAGTACTAGTACATCTCAAGGAGCCCAGCTTATCGACCAATTTTCCAGATCCCGTGCCTAAGAGGGCGGCTGCTATAGCCCAGCATTAATGGACTATTGTGAAGCGCGATCGGGATTTCTATCCAACCTCACGGAGAGGGGAGACTTACCAGTTAACTCAAAGCAATCACTGTGAGCCTGAGGGAATGAAGGGCTCGGGGGAGCAGTAGCGGACACCATTAGCAGCGGGATCGACATGATATGCCTTTCTCCGGAGAAATTCCATTCTAGTGGAAATGTAAGTCGAGCTGACTCCTTAAAATAGCGATAGGCAAGCATACTCAAGAGAAACCGGGTCCACAGTTGCCTTGCCCTCTGCAACCAGACCATCTGCTATGACAATCTTGCCGTGCAGCTCGGCTATTTGAGAGCGAAACTGGGCAATCTGGCAGTGCAGCTGGGCGAGCCGGCAGTACAGGTCCGAGATCCGGTTGTACTGCTGTGCAACCTGGGCGTGCAAATCCGAACTTTGTCCCCGGAACTTCCCAATATCGCCTTGATTCTGCTGAATCAGGGAGCGGAGCTCCTCAAGCTGAAATTGCGGCAGCTCAATCTTGCTCTCTGATTGCTTGATGTCATTTTCGAGCGGCCCTATTTGGCATTGCAGATGGCTAATCTGGCCCTCCCTTGCCCAAATCTGAAAATTCAGACTCTTTATATGGCTGCTTAAGTTTCGGCGGGGATATATCCCCCATGCTCTGTCGTCCAAAGCGCCCGGTATTCTAGCCATATCGAAAGGCCTTGATTTACCTTGGGTCCCGCGCAAATTATCTCCGGTGCTTTCTAGCTTTGAATTATTCTGTGTCATCGAGTCTGCTTGTAATGTCACCTCTTGTGGCTTCCGAAACAGTTCTCGACAGTAGATTGATCACGCTCCCTGTGGTACGCAGTTGCTAGTTGATGGCTGTGTCTGTCTATTCCATTAGCATCAGAGTGAGTGAATATTTTCCCTCAAATAAATAGCACGAACATACCTCCTACCGCCTAGATATCTTGTCCCCCTGAGAGTATCCGCTTATTTCGCTGTCTCGAGTTGTGAGAATTAAAGGACTTTGTCGCTCTGGTATCAGGTATCGGGGAGACGCCTTGAATTATAGATAGAGGGCCACTGAGGCTAAGCCTCATTCTAGTGCTAATTGGGTGAAGTTTATTGAAATGACCTCAATTACATGGAACTAAATAGCTACAAAAAAGTTTAATTTTCCTGGCCCGGAAAAGCATCTGACAATTTACACGTACGCTACAGTATCACTGACTCACACTTAGCAAGGAAAGCGGAATTAGGGTAGCATTTTGGCCGTTAAGGGTGGGTTTGGTGCAATCTGTACTCCGGTTTGATGCGGATTTCGTAGAAGCCTGAGAAGGGAAAAGTGTGCGGGCTAATTGATAGACTAAAACAGATATAGATGAGTAGTGTACAAGTAGAAGAAGAAAAGCTTTTCAAGATACCAAAATTTAATGTGACAGTTAAAAAATAGCGCACCAGCAAGACCAACGCTCGCCTACGCCCCCACCGTGCATTCAGAATCTGGTAACTATAAAAGGTCTACCGAAGCTAGTAGAGGTGGCACTAAAATAGAATCACGACATCATGCCATTGTAATATACTCATTTTGCCCGATTGAAGTCGCCTTTCTCTTCCCCCCCCCCCCGCGGCGAGTCACTAGAAAAAAACGACCTGGAGCAACTCGAATCTGGCCACTTGAGTACTGTAGGTGGTGAAAATGTGTTTGTTTTCTTTTTCTCTAAGCTTGGGTTATGTTCTGTAAAGGTGGTTAGGTTTAGTTTGATTTGTTAGGGTTTGATTGTGACTGGCCATGGTGATGTGCTGTGGACCAGAGAGGGGAGAAAGGGGATTTTCCTCCCTCCCCTATCAAGCAAGCGAACGGAGAATGAAGAACATCGAACCGTTGAAGAATGAATCTGTGGACGAGAGACAAAGACAACATACGATTACGAAGTTTGTACCTACGTTTGGGAATTACCTTTGCGTTTGTTCTTTCTTTTCCCCTGCATCAATTTAATTTGTACAGACCTCTTTCGGAACCTCTTTTCGTGCGTGAAAGCTGGATTTCCCTGTTAGATTTGTAACTCAAGTCGCCGGTTTGAAGTCGCGTTTCTATTCAGAGCGTGGGGGTTCTTAGAATGGAAAATGAGTATTTTTAGTGCACATAACTTAAAGTAACGGATAAGCGTGAAGCAATGTCGTATCTGGGTTAGAGAAAATATTTTGTATCGGGGGGGGGGAGCGCGATATCCATTCCACATTCCCAGAGACTTGGTTAAGTGACTCATAATTGTATTTTGTAGTCTTCAAAATGTATCTTTCTTACCAGTCACCACTGGTTATGATGCGCTTGTCCTGTATTTCGGACTTCCCTTATGAAATGCCACTTTTCCGATGCCAAGAATCCCATACCGTGGATAGAAAGGCGACTTCAAACCGGAGACTTTGGTAAGCAACCGAGCAATTTCGTGTTGACGCCTAACCTAAATATCTATTTTCATATCTTTATCGGAATGATATATTAGGACTAGCGTCCCTACTACTAATCGATAGCTCCGACTACTCGTACACAATGAAAATACAAGTACCGGTATTTTACTAGGAAATGGGGATTCGTAAAACACGTGCTTAAATATCTGTGCGCATCAGCGATCCTGGAAAAATATACCCTTGTTTTTGGGTACTCGGCGCCCTGCATAAGCAGTGTCACGTGGTGGCGTTGGATGTTGTAGTATCCGCGAGATCGCACCGCGGTCCGTAAGTGCGATAGCCAGGGGACGGAGAGGTGGTTCGGAGAATGATGCCGCCTTGGAAATTAGCATGCCCCAAGTTAAGTTATGACGGCAAATTTACCTTACGATAGGCTGGTTATGGATTTACCGATACCGGCATGCAGAGGACACCGGCATTGCAAGTCCCACATGGGTTCAGTAGCTTGTTTTTTCGCAGAGGATCGCAGTGGCTGGGCACTAGGGAACTGAGGCGGCAAGAAACACTGGTAGGGTTAATGGTGGTGCGGGTGCAAGGCAGACCTGAGCTCTCCTGCCGGTACTGAATTCCAGTCTCTAAGGTTCCAAGGAAACCGGGTCTAGAGCTGATATTTGGGATTTCCACCAAATCGCAAGTTGCGCCCAGAAAGAATTTCTATATGATAACTTTAATAGCCGCCCTCCGCCGCGGTTAGGGGCTGGAACTCTGGACGAGCTTCACAATTCATAAGAAATCCGGGGCAGGGTTAGGGTTTAGATGAGGGACAAATTCCGCTAAGAATACACGGGCACTAACCTGCCATTACCGCGGCCGCGAGAATAATCCGGTAGGGAATCGCGCCGGGGAGGGCGATACGGTACCTTAGGGGGAGTGCATATCCCCTACCGCTGATAAGTGGCTTGCATATCGATACTGAAACCACCGTGGTCTCAAACTCCAAAATAGCTAGCCTTGCCGACAGCCACCCGTCGATCTAGAAAATGGGGGCCGCCGGCTGCACATTCACCCTCCATCATCTCTGGCGCAATAGCTAATCATACTTCGGGCTAGCGGTGCGGCACTAAAAATGGTGGATGAGCTACTCGTACAATAGTGGGAGACATTTGGCCACAAGACTTTTTAATCAGGGGGTCATCCATTCATACTCGGGGTGGTCTATGATACAAGGCCGAGGTTTCCACTTGAAGGCTGAGTAATCGGCAGGATCGCAGTTGACATCATGATTCATACGGTATATATAACGCTCTGGGATTGAGGGGTTAAGGCTACTGTGACGGGGTGATACCGGTATTGGATCGCACGAAAAATCTGGTGATGGGGCTACGGTGTCTACCGAATGCAAATTGGCCGAGTTTGTTGGGAGAAGACTCCAGCCGCTGTAACTTACTCACGGCGCCGGTTTGCTCTGCCAGTTCCTATTCTGGAATCGCTCATCCTCGGATGTTTTGGCCTATACAAGACACCAAAGTGCCTCCGGCGCAACACTAGCTAAAGCATATGGACACCTTAAAACAAAGCTGTAACACTGACTACTGAGTCGCCAGTTTTCCTGCAGCCACAGTAACAATCCCCACATAAAGCATCCCCGGCCCCTTTAATTTAGCTGCTAGGAGTGCATGAAGGGAACAAACTTAAAACAAATACAAAATACTATCCATTAAATTTATTATTACATGTACCATGATGAATGATACATCTATTAAGCTTTTCATGAAAGCTTTGACAATGCCTATCAATCAATTCCTGTGGAAACTGTCTCCAAACCTCAACCAATGTAGCCTTTGCTTGCGCAACCGTTTCCTGACTAGTACCAGTAAATTGGAAAGCTGCAATCTCATCTTTACAATCATCCCATAGTCACTCAATTTGGCTAAGATCTGGTGATCTCGATGGCCATTTAAATGTGACGATTCCCTTCTGCTGGCATAGCTCACCATCACCCTTTGTTGTTTCAAGTGAATGGAGGTGAATGTCATTCAGGTTCTTGAGGTTCAGAGTTTTCTTAGTATGGTTGCAATCATCGTTCCCTACTGCGTTTTATTGGCTAAAATTCCCGAGGATGAGCGATTCCTTAATAGGAACTGGCAGAGCAAACCGGCGCCTTGAGTACAATGCCGCTGGAATATTTCGCTGTGTGCCCGTATGAAACCCCTGAATTCAAAAGGCTTTCGCACCAAAACTTGACCCATTGTCCCTGATTGCTCGTTGCCCCGGATAGATCCTTCGGATTTTGGTCGTCCGGGATAGCTTAACCTTATTTTCATTCTTGCTAGTACACTAATCTACTTAAAGGCACTAAGTCCGGGATAGCGAGGCGCGACTATAAGTTACTCGGGTACCGGTACTTAAGTTACCGGTAGAAGAGTGCGGCTTGAGTGGCCCGACTATCGGCTTTCATCCGCGGAGATTGGGGTTGCTGCCAAGAGTATCCGAAAGAGGCTCATTGCGGCTCGCGTGAGACAATTGTGTGAATACGAGTACGGTAACGTACGTACCTGTGTGACACCACACAAACTTAACTCACTCAACAGCATCACTTTCTTCTGCCATGAGACCGAGACCCCCCTGATACCGCTACTCATCACCCGCTGCCATCTCCATCGGCCAGTCTTCAGAGTGTATGGACTACCGGTATATGGAAAATCGTGGGTCATTCAGCAACAACACTGCGAGCTTCAACACGATTGTCCAGGCTATCGTAGCGGATGACAAGCCTCAGGTCCTACAGTGGCTGTCGCCGCTCGAACCTCAGAGAAGACATCAACATTTAAGAGAGAACCGACTGGAGGCTGTGGGACAATGGATTTTTCGAACATGTGAGTTTCGGAGATGGGATACGGGGGCGGATGGACCCCCTCACTCCGTGCTATTTTGCCACGGTGGCCCAGGCGTGGGGAAGACTCATCTCAGGTAACACAAGAAACTGCGGGATAAAGCCCATATCGCTAACCACATGGCATTTCAGCTCTCTAGTAATCGATCATTTTTATGGCAGTGGACAGGATATCGCAGTCGCTGGGCTCTATTGCGACTACCTCGACAGAAAAAAACAGACTACATCGAACATGCTAGGAGCCATGATCAAGCAGTTGGTGGGGAGAGGAAATATCCCGGAGGACATACGCAGGGCTTTCGAAGACGCGAAGGATCATTTCGGTGGGATAGGCCCGCGAGTCCCAGAACTTCTCAATATGTTGAAGACTGCAATTACCCAGCGACAACGAGTGGTTATATGTATTGACGGCTTGGACGAATCCCTCGCGCCGCATCGTACTGGTCTCCTCAGCGCTCTCCGGGATATCGTGAGGAAGTTGCCTAATGTCCGGTTATTCTTGACCGGAAGGTTTTTTATTCGAAGCGAGGTTGAGAACTTCTTCCCCGGATTAGTTACGATCTTAGTTAGGCCAACAAAGGA